ACACAACCGGAGAAAATCTGCCACTTCCTTACAGAGCCCCTCCTCCAACACACATGAACGCGCACATGACCAATAAGGGCACGAGATAAGTTTGTGCACAGATGGAAGGCTGACAGGCAGGTAGGCCATCCAGTTATTTTAGGCGGGCCGGCTAAAATGATTGGTCGTGCTTTTTACAGTACTACGGCTTCCACAGATGACATTTTTTTATGGATTTTTTGTCAAAGCACTTAAGATATTCATTGCTATCGGGATGTTAAGAGCATTCCATGGAATATAACAAAAAGTGTATCTCGAGCCGGTTTCTCAAACTTACCTACCCCACCTTTAAGTAAGCATGATAATAACTCATCAAAAATGTTGTTCTCCAGAATGTCCACGATTATTTTCTTAAGAAAAAACAAGGTAAAACAGCGAAGCGTTTCCTAAAGAAAGAAGCAGATATTTTTATTTTGTTTCTGGCCAGAAGGAAATTATGTGTGTGTGTCATTACTGAGAACCAAGCTAAGATGGTGTTGAGTAATTTTCTGGTTCTAAATGCATGTCTCGGTTTGGGACAGCCTTTGGGGACTTCTTACCAAGATGAGTCAACGCTGTCCTTTCATGGCTTCTGGACACTTATTGCTCATTTGGATGAACTCATGCTCACAAGCTGAAAGGAAAGCACAAGCATTCAAACATGAAGAAAAACTCAAATTATGAGCTAACTATGAACTACTGACTACTGATTGTAATCCTGATAAAAAAGCCACTGTCCTTGCCAGAAATCCCCTCCATTACTCCAACAGGGTGGGCTTGGATATACCAATACAAAAAACAAGGTAATGGCTGCTTTACATATCTTTTTTAATCCATCCTGTAATTTTATCAAAAGGAAATAAAAAATTAGTGTATTCATCTTGCTATAAAAAGAAGATAATTTGTGGGTTTATCAGAGCTATGTATAAAACTGAAAGAACAGCCCCAAACAATAAAGTCTGTTAAACCCAAAAAATGAGCTGAAAGACACTTAAACGGTCTGCAGACCTTAAGGGGAAATGAGTCAAACACGGTGGGCTGACTTTCATTAGTGTTCAGAACAGCTTATACATGTATGTTATAAAAAACAAAGTCCTCTCTCTTCTTTTTATTTATGATGCATTGCCATCATTAACGCACAGATTGGAAGTGTTTTGTGGCTGAAATGTCCTCCCAGTTGTGGTCAACTTCTCTGTGTCTGATGCACACACATGCAGGGATTGACCCTGATGTCTCTGGTGCCACAGAGTCTGAGTGTGATTCTAATGGGACGTCCAAGAGATGCTGAGTCCGTTTAGACATGGTGCTGGACATGCTTCACATTAAAGCAAGACCAAAGTCAAAAGGGGAACACAAACAACAGATGCACACAGGGAGACACACTAGGACTAAACTAATATCACATTCTAACAAGGATTACACAGGACCGTTCTCAGGTGTTGCTGGTTACGACTTCCTGTGGAGAAAGGATCCACTTTTCAACCCCAGGAGCAGCGCTGGATCTGAGGCCGGGGCCAGAGACTCTCCTACCTGCTGAGAACAGCTGGGCTCTGTCTCACTTCCAAAATAATGCTGCACCGATGGCTGTGTTACCAAATCCCATCTGGTCTCATTTTAGATTTGTAATAATGGATTGACGGTGTGGACATTTTAGTATAATTACTATGGATTGCATTCCTCCTGAGTTGGTTAAAGTGTTTCAAAGACTTCTTACCGGACAGACGGTGGCTTTTGGTTTAGAGTTTCAAAGAGGGCGGATGTGACATGTAGGTTTTGTGCGTGTTCCTGCATCCCCACATATGTGCACGTAGCATATGAAGAAGGTGTGAGTGGCAACATGAAGTGAATGATTGCGGTGCCAAACGTTGACCTCATGTGGCTTTTCATGCCATTCTCTTAGAAGGTATTTGAAGTTTGACTCAGTCCCTCAGATCTCACATGTGGCTTATATTTGCACTGAAATACCTCCCAGAGCTATTGGCTGCTTTGAAATGGATGTAAACATGAAGCTCTTGGTCATTTACTCAGTCCATTTGGCTGTCTTTATAGTGTCACTGCTTTACAGGGGCATAGCAGGGTATTAAAATGTGCAGTTATGGAGGCCTGTTTATCCCATTACGCTCTGTGTGTGTGTGAAAGTGAGGGAAAGACAAAAGGATAAAGAGATTTCACAATGCAATTAAATGTGTTGACATTGCCCAATTAAGTGAAATGCTAACATTGAGCAAAGCACGAAAACAGAACAAATGTGGTTTGAAAATTACTTTTTGAATGTCTTTGTCCGCTCTCATTCATGAACACAGAAAATTCCCCAAGCTTCGTGCTTGCTTGTCAGTTACACAACACTGTGGTGTGGCATGCTGCCCTGTTATTGTTAACTGGCCCAGTCACCACTGTAGACTTATGGAGAAAACAGCTCCATCGCTGAAGCTGATGACGAACATATGTTTGATTCTTTCTCAGTCACATTTATGCAAATCTCCTGAGGTCTGTAAGACCAAATCAAATCGAATCTGTATCATTTCAGAAGATCTGATTTGGAATAATGTCTTTGTTGGGTTAGGCCTATTTGGTCCATTATGCGTAATCTGTATTTAAAGTTGATTATATCTATAAGTTAGCCACAGTGTATGTAATTCAATCAGAATGATTCCTATGTAACTGATATTTAACCTGGCATTGAATGTGACATTTCTTAAGATATGCATTGTTTTAGCCATTCCTCTCTTTATGTGTACAGTAGTAGATGCTGAAAAGTAGATGAGGTTTGCAAGATTTTTAGATCATATTTGCAGGAGAGTCATTGTCTGCACAAAGTCCCCTGCTGTGTGTGGTGTATTTTAACCCTGGGAATCAGCATTTACATTGTGGATAGGGATCAGAAAAGTAAAAGAGAGGGGAAAGAAAGCGAATATTTACTCTCTATGGCACTAATCAATAAAACAATGTGTGTTGGTCACTGAGTGCAGCAGACATATCCTCATATAGGGTCAAATGGGATCATGTTACATTACTGAGAATGAAGCAACATTACAAAGTCCTAAGTGATAAAACAGGTGGTAGATAAAGAGTCTGTAGGCTGTGTTCAAAATATTCTTGAAGGAATACTCCTTCACTTCAGTATCACATAAACATAAGTAACAAATGAGGTACAGGAAACTAACTTCACAGAAAGTTAACTTGTTATGTCTGCAAGCAATTACGGGTATAGTTTGGCATTTTCAGAAGTGCTTTGTTGATATCTTGACGAGTAGGATAAGAAGTTGAAGCAGCTTTAATCTCTGTAGCAGATTAAAGCTGACGGTTAGTTTAGCACTGAGATGGTAAAGGGAAGGGAAACAATTAGCTTCATTTAAAGGTGATTTATTAACTAAGTAAAACATGTTATATGTTGTTTGTTTACCCAATAAGAAACAAAGATGCAAATATTACATGTTGTGGTCATGAGGAATTGTGTGTTTTTTGTGTTTTGTCTGGGTGCAATGACTTCCTGTCATCTTGTCTTTAAAGTGAAGTTCAGTAAGACTTCAGGAAGGATACACCAGCAAGAAGAACTCAAAAATGATGTGTTAATAGGTCATCTTAAAATCTACCGATCTATTCTGAGGGATGCAGTATTTTCCCCAAAAAACTATGTAAACCTATTGACCAAAAAGGTTCCGTTTACTAAGATACACAGCTCATCCTACATGAAACTACACAGACTACTCGGACACAGTATTTATAAACACACATGCACAAGCAGTGGAGCACATTTTCAGTTATCAATACCAGGACATTATAACACATCTGCTCACTTGTTCTCAACATACACGTTCCTGTTGGATGATGCTTCTGCGTTAAGTCTCCATGGTGGCACATGGAAACACTTTCCTTATTAGGTCTCGACTGGAAATCTATGGAAAAGAAGATAAAGAAACACTGTTGCAAGGACGATTGTTCCTGTATAGATTAATGACTACATCAACACAAGTGGTTACATCATTAAGGACGTTTATTTCTTTTGTTTCTTTGCTCTTTTTTGAAAAGGCAACACCCTGGAATAACGGCACCTTTTTAAATTGTGAATTATTTAACTGTAGAGTATATAGATTAACTGATGACAACCTGACAATCCCATTTCTTCTTGGCATCACATTTTAATTAACCAGTTGATTTATACCAAGAATATAGGCCTGACTTTAATAATAATCGCATCTATATATTACTTCCAACCGGTCTGAAAACCACTTATCTACATTCTGTACACAATATATAGGTTTCCACACCCCAACTATATTGCTACAGTCAATTATAGTTTTGCAATTCTCCTCATTTTAAATAATTAGAAAAAGGTTTACCTATGATTACTCGAATACCTTCTCTTCTATGCTTGACTGCCTCCTGGCACTCACATGTAGCTCTCAGAAAACAACCCCAAAATCATTTAATGGACCTGATCCGAGAGCCTTTGGGAGGAGAGCTGAGTGTATGCCCCAGGGCCGTGGAAAGGGAGAGATGGAAGGATCACAGTGCAACAGTAAATAATGTTACAGTATGAATAATGAGCTCCCTCTGTGCCGGGGCCTCAACTGGACTAATGGCAGAGACCTGGTTTAGATTAGGTATTGCACAAATATATACACACGCACGCATACATGTGCATGACCAAACACACACACCTGACTGTCAGGAGGGACGTCATATCAGTTTAGATAATCTGTTGCCCTCTGGAGCTCTGGGTTCTGCTCTGGGACAGCTAATATAAAAGGAGGTAGAGGGCATCACACACACCTTTAGTCAACCATACACCCTTTCCTTTTAATTGTCCAGTATATGTCATCTTTTTCCCTCTGTTGGTCTTCCCAGTTTTCTTCTGATAAGACTGAGCCTCAAATCTCCCTCGGCAGTGAATCTGTTTGTCCAGAGCTACACAATATTTGATGGTGCAGGTCTGCCATCTGCTGTCAGTAGTTGGTTATTTTAATAAAACAGACACGCAATGATATGCACATGGTTTATTAACAAAACAAAAACTCCAGTTAGTTTTCAGCTTCAAAATCTCCCATTAGACATACTTCAAAACCATATACCTTTTATTTTAAACGGCAAATGTTAAACTTGCTTACTGAGATGGTTACATTTCCAGCTGTTGTCTAAACAGTAACCTTTTTTATAGCAGACTCTTTTTAGACCAGTTTCTGGTAGTGTCCACACCGTCTGGACAAGAAAATGTTTTAAAACAAATAATTTCAATGTACATGTTGGAATATTATTACTAAGTGGAAATCTGTCAATCCTTAAATTATCAAAATAGAAATGCTGGAACTTTAAATAAAAAAAACCTATATGACCATGCTTCATCATGTATACATCTACATATAACAATAGTGTATTTATATCTAGTCATACAAGTCTCTGTCAATGTGCTCGGTTTCTTTGTTTAGTAGTAAAAATAGTATATTCTGATTCCGCCACTCAATCAAGATATTCTAATAATCAGGCCGATTTAGTGAACATAAAGTGTTTCTGCAAAAAGATTTGGGTGACCACCACACACTCTTATCGTCTTGGCTGTTTTAACTGATGCCAAAATCAGTGATACTGGATTTAAATCTAAGCCAAGCACTTCGCTACTGATTCATGTGACTTGAGCCGCTTCCTCCTGGGTCCTGTCTAGGTGTCAAAGTGGCTCTGACTGTTTGTTGTTTCAGTCTCAGTTCACATCCTCCCCGCAGCTCCTGGCTCCACTTGCAGGGAGAGAAGAAGGCGAGGCACTGCTAAAGTCGGTGAGAAGGCATCATAACTCAAAAGTCTGCCTCTTCTTCTTCCTCATCGCTTCTCCAGCTTCTTGAACCTGGCCTCTGTAAAGATAACAAAAGACAGGGATGTGGTCACTATTAAGCTAATGGCTGTTCATGTTCAAATGCAACACAATGTGGTATTGGTTCACTCCTATGGTTCACTCTCATTGAAGGCTTAACATTTTCCCTTTAGGGATTGACTGTGGTGTCACAGCACCATCTGCTGGTGGACTTCATAATGCTTTGCAATACGAGCTGCTGTACTATTATTGGTCTTGACTACACATACCAGACAAAATAGCCAGCAAATAGAAAGGAAGCTATTCTATTTCTGCTGTCATGATGGGGCTCTGCTCTCATTGACAAATACAAACAACACATTCACTAACGACAGTTAAGTAAATTAAGCACATTTTGGAGTTTTACAAATACTATTTTGACCAACAAATGTTGCAATCATTTCAATAGAATCAGCCTCACTCAATAGATTATTGTACAAAACATATTCTACATACAACATAACTTCTCTACATTACAATTCTTACCCAGTTTCTTGGAGTATGCGTCCAGTTTGTAGGCAGCCTGTTCAAGTGAAGACACTTGCTCTTCAATCTGATTTATCTGGTCCAAGTAGGGCTGTAAACTGGCATCTAAAGAAAACATACATACCCGCCATAAATCATTTATGAATACAAAAAAGGACCAAAAAAAAGCCTTTGAGCAGATAATGTGTCACGCACATTTGTTGTTGAGATCCTGCAGGTTACGGCTGATGTTGATACTAATGTCCTTCATTTCCATGTACTTCAGACTGGTAAGCTTATTCATGTTCTCCAACAGACGGTAATCCTCAGAAGTTCCTGAAAAGGTAAAGACATATGCATGAGAGAAAATAACACTGAGTAAATAAATATTCATCATACAGGTTTCCTAGACCTTTTCCAAAAGTAACTTCAGCACTTCAATGTGCATTTGTTTGCACATTACAGCTGTGGTTAATTCCATTTTTATATAATGGATACTTATTATTACACTTCTCCATCACATTTATAGCACATATCAGTGTGCTATAAACAACTCTGATGATGAGTTGTGGATTGCAGCTGTCTGTAGTACCATTGCAAACGCACAATAAGGTATTGTCATCAGTAAATCAGTGCTATGGCTAAAATATGTTTGGAGAAGCAGGAGTGTGCAAAATGCTTTTAAAATACCAGTTAGTTCTCCTTGCAGGACGATTGCCATCTTTTCAAACATGTCAGCGCATAACTCATTGATATCAGGCTCTGCAGGCTCCACAGCCTCCTCAGCTGTTTCCACACCACCATCACCTGAACACAAGCATTACAGCAGGATAAACACAACATGCAAATCCAGTTCAAATATAACTCTGTCAACAATGGTTAAATAAAATAAAGCCAAATATAGGAGAACATACAACAGTCAAGAGATCGACAATGATGCTTTTCAATGCAACCATCACTGACAAGACAATTAATATGATAACTGTATACTGCTTTAGCATTAGCAAGCTACGGAAGCTGCAAGGAAACATCGCTCACTGTTTGTGCTGGTCTTTTTGGGAACAACAGCCGGAATTTCTGCTACGTCCTCCGGGGCTTCTGCCTGACTGCTGGAGGCTGCAGCCGCGTTCAGAGCCGCTAGCTGGGCCGCTGGAGCCCGGGAGATGCTGTCCATTGCTGCGGCGTCGTCTCCCGTTGCAGCCATTTTGTTCCTGTTTTGACTTGTGTCACGTGAGCTGAGGCTCACGTGACATCCGCCCGCCACCACAACCACGCGCATTGCCACGCCCTGATGAGGTTGGAATGTAAGGCATGTGCGGTTAATTAATATTTAATACTATGTTTTACTAATGTAACTATTATAACGCGCCTTTCAATCTGTATGTAATTACCCAGTGTAAACAAGAAGCAAGAAAAGTAAACATGTCCAAGGTTAGGACCTCGGTATTAAGTCATCTGTTTGAAGGCTGCAGTCATAGCAATAGTTCAACCTTTTTCCATTTAATCAAGACTCAATGTAAAAGAAACCAATTCATAAAAAAAACACTGAATTTGAGAGTTAATGAATTACAACGTGTTTTACATTTTCTTTTAAATGACAAGTTCTTTATTACAATTATGCACAAGAGAGAAGCAGTCGTTGGCAATGAAAATCTCAGTATCCCTCCAGCATTTATTCAATGTAATTTACTATAGGCTATTCAATACGTCTATTCTTTCCTTAAATAAAATATAAACGTTTTACTATTTATTTCCCCAAAAGTTCATTGTTTTTTTAATATACTATAACCAATATTTGCACTGTTTCCCTAAATTATAATCATTGTGTCACACACATCATCTGAAATACCCGAAGAGCTATAGCCTACTTGGCAGCTAAATTAGTTCTGCCAAACCACCTCTCATATCACAATTGGTTTTGCCAGGATACATTGTCGTCTGATTTGTCATGAAAGTGTTGATTTTAAGAAGAAAAAAAATTGTAAATGAAAAGGAAATGAATTAAATGAATTTCTCAAACGCACGCATCAATACCGAAGCCAATTTCTGCCAGTGCAAAACATAATAATAAAAGGTATACACCTATTTTAAAAAAAGTCATTAACTTTACGAAAGCAAGTCTAAGTGATAACATGAGTTACATTTTTGCTTTAATAATAATAATTTATAATATTTGTTTGCTTTTAAAAATGTTTTAATATGCCTATGATTATTATGTTATTATTTCTTTACTTGTCTTTTCTTGCAAAAATGTGCTTCCATACATGATACAGTCAATATGAAATATTGCCTCAATAAATATTCTTAGAAATCACAATATGTTTGCACAACTTTTCCATGTGCGCGCTCCCGCGAGAAGCATGCAGTTCTTGGCATGCAGAACTCGACACAACACCTGTGTCGGCGGCGCTGTTGTGGGGGAAGCTCGATCGTGACAGGCTAGCATCAGTGGACTGTAAACATGGCGGCGTGCACAGCTACAGGGCTGTGCCGAACACCCCGTTACTATTAGTCCGAGAGACGGGAGACAACACAAAAATGGAGACCGAAGAGGAGCAGCACATCACCACGCTCCTCTGCATGGGTTTCCCAGACCCCGACGTGATAAGGAAAGCGCTCCGGTTAGCAAAGAACGACATAAACGAGGCAGTGGCGCTGCTGACAAACGAAAGCCCCGGACTCGGGTATGGATATGAGCCGATGGAGAGCGGGCCTGCCCCCGGCGTGGGCTCCACTGGAGACGGGGAAAGCAGCGGGCGGACTGGGACTGGAGGGTTTGATCCCCCACCCGCATACCACGATGTAGTGGATAGTGAGGTAAGAGCAACTAGAGTTTCACTAAGCATCAACTGAGTGCACGAAGGAACAGAACATGATTAGTTTCAACTTACTGGGAAACAGTGGACTCGCCCATTTAACTAGCTAAACTTAGCTTCAATGCTACATGCAGCCAACGTGAGCTGTCAGAGCAGGAGATGAAATACTCTCCCGTCCTACCGTACTGAACATGTCAGTGTTTAATGGTGACTTGGGAATTGTCTGTTAACATGAAACCTTGCTACTTAAACTATGGACCTAACATAAATCGCTGCGGTTATTCTAAACTTACAAGCTAACGCGGCTAGCTAGTAGCCGGCTAGCTAACGTTAGAGAGTTGAACGCGCCAGTAGCTGGACCAGGCATCACTCTGGAGGATTGCAATCAGATTTTCACTGGCAGTACTATCCTAGTGGGTTATCAGTCCTATAAGTCAGCCTGTGGACAGTAAGGCTGTGTCATTTATGTCTGATTTTGAAAGGTTAGCTAACGTTAGCTTCTAGGTTGCCTGACAGCGTCACCCGCTCCTACTGAGATTGCAGTCTAACCAACTCCAACCAGACTAAAATCAGTTTCGCAATCCGTGTTCATTTTGATAATTCTTCAGTGAGCTCTATCAGCTGTCAACATAATTTGTTTTACTGGTTTATTATTAATTAAGAGTATTTGTTAGGATTGATGCATGAGATGATGTAAGGCCAGCCAGTGGTTCTTTACTGGCTGTACGTGTACCTCCAGGTCGTATCATGTGGTCCGAGTTTGCTGTGTTTATGTGGTGTTGTAACAGTAAACTGCATTGTCCTTTATAAATAAGACATGTCAAGATTGCTTTGACTGGCACCTTGAGAAACTCGAGGATGTTTGCGTTCAAGTACTTGACTTCCAGCCTGTTGCTCTCCTAGATCTCTTTAAATCCTGCAGGTACTGTCAACAGCTCTTAGAAACTCACAAATCATTTGACCTGGCAGATTATTGATTCAGACCTTCCAGCCACTTGTTGTATTCCTTTAATGGCTGTTTGAGCTGCAGTGATTATGGGTCAGCATAATACAAATACATTACTCACTACCTTTCTTTCTCCTCTAAGTCTTTCACTGCTGTCACACTTTGATGAAGACGGTTATAGTAAGTGTAGTGTGAACAACAATTGGCACTTACAGCTGCAGGAAATAGCCCACACCTGTAGGTTACTGTAGATACTAAGCCTTATTTTGTATGTGAATAATGGAGTTGTTGCAAATCTACTTAGCCCAAAGTGTACAATTTTCATCTTCAAATCTGTGTAAAAACAAAACTCATATTTGTCATGAGATATAGTAATTGAAATGTCACCCCCTCATGGTATAGTAAAACATGCTTTATAGGGAATAAGCTACAAGGATGAAAGTGCTTTATTTCCTTTCTTCACTTCCTCTCTTTGCTGCATTTGTGCTAAAGAGGCATGTCATAGGTCTATGGCCTTATGCTCCTAAATATAGCCCTGCAGTCTCCCTACACACAAACACATTGCAGTTTAGCTCGGGGACCCAGGAGGGTCGCAGGGTGCGTAGTAACAGAGTCACGCTGAGATACCTCACCGTCCTGCGCAACAACAGACATGTGTTCTGGGCCTTGGAGCTCTAATATTTCCCCTAGGTCCTGAAACACTGAGAACTTTATTACACTTAGCAGCTTATTGTCATGTTTTGTTCTCCTGGTTAATGATTATTTGTGAGAGGAAGGTTCTTCTCTTGCCTATGCTATCATTGTTATTTAAATCAAAGGATCACATTCTGACCATTCAGTGAGTTCTGATTTGGTAATCTTTCCAGTAATAATATCTCTCCTCTTGGTTACTATTGAACTTTTTTTCCCCTTTAAACCAGTTAGTCTCTTGCTCTCTTTCCTTCTGCTCTTCCATCTATCTGTCATTTGTAGTTTTGTTAGGAAAGAGCGGTATGTAATATGATGCTTCTCTGTTGCCTTTTCCTTCCTTTGTCTTTCTACTGTTATTTTCTTCTTTTAGATCAGTCCCACCACTTTATATGTATCAGTATGCACTAAACACATTGACCATGGTAAATGCTGACAGGGGAAAATATATTTAAAAAATGGTCAGACTTAACCCTTGCCGTGTTAATTGGAACAAACCGTGACCACAGGCAAAATGGACAATTGATTTGTAATAATTTTGGTCATTTATAATGTAGTGATGGCTGAATCCCAAAGCTTAGTCAGCCTTTTAAGATTGTGATTCTGTAAATTCTTTGCACAATATCAGTGCAAACATTTGTCACAGGCTGGTTTAAAATGATGACACGCTTTAGTGTAATACATGTGTTCTGACATGTTCCACTGGTTAACACTTAAATTCAGGGCATGTACTTCTTCAATATAATCAGGAATATTCAGATGATTTCATGAATATGTAAACAACTTTATGATGTAAATAATTCAAACACCTTTGTTTGCTCTCACCACATGGAGGGATAGAGTTTACTGCCACTGTCCATGTTCTGATCTCATAGCAATATTAGCCTGTACTTAGCATTGGGAATCATAAACCCAAAACATATAAGAAGTGACTTTTGAGTGAGATGAGTTTAAACATGCTTTCATAACCTGTTGAGATATGTCAGCAGAAAAGGTCACTGTGGGCAGCACCACTCTGCCAACAAGAGAGTGTCATGGCACAGTGTTCATTATATTCCACTTTAACTCACTCCCTGGCTTACACGTATGTATTGCTTAGTAAAACACTTGAAAACAAGCCCCTGACTGGATTCGTTTTAAAAGCTTTGATGAGGAAATAGAGGGAGAAAAAGATGCAGGGACGAAGGGCAGATTGTGAGGGAAGGACATTTCCCCAATGACTGCTATCGCTCTTCTCCCAAAGGGCGGAAAAGAATCAAGCATCCTCCCGTCTGACTTTATCATTGCCAGAGGCCATTTGTATTAACCTCGTGCAGAGGACAGCTGCAGCGTCCTATAACAATGTCGGACTCGGGGACTATCTGTGTGAAATAAAGTCACCCATTGCATTAGGTTGTAATTATGCCATGCCTGTGTGTTTTACAGAGGAGCAATGATGAGAATGGGAACTGCTCAGGGGGCAGCATGGAGTTTCCCACCACCAACCTGTACGAGCTGGAGAGTCGAGTCTTTACCGACCACTGGTCCATACCTTACAAGAGAGAGGAGTCCCTGGGCAAGTGTCTTATCGCGTCCACCTGCCTCGCCCGGCACGGTAAGAACATGTTTGTGTGGCATGACATTTGTTTTTAAAGGTCTGCTTTTAAAATAAATTCCCTCCATCTACGTATTTATGTGGGTGGTGTGTTTTGTTGGGTGTTTTTCACATGTTGTTATTTTGGACACTTGCGTTACATACCTCAATCTGTCTCCTTCGTCACAGTTTTTTTCCCATGTT